ACGAATGGAAGATGCTAATGTGAAGTCAGACTCTCAGACTTTCAGCTATCTGATAAGCAATTGCACGACTGAGGATAACATATCTAAGGTCCTTGGGTTTACATATCTGTTTTGTGATCTTGATAAAGAACATTTGTTCTGACTTGGCAAAACTTTTTTTTGGGAATATGACTGTAGATCATTCTTGCTTTTCTCATTTCTCTGGTGTAACTATGTTTTATAATCTAAGTGGATGCATTATTTTCATTTACTAGCTTGTTCTAGATTATTTTCTCTTTCATATTTCTCGTTCTTATGAGATGGTGGTTCAGTAATTGTTTAGTAAAAGTTAAAATGGAGATATAATGTGCTTGATTATAGAAGGAAAGCTAGCTTATATTGAGCGTATTAAGATTATAAGAATGAAAGCTAGCTTATATTGAGCTTATTAAGATTACAAGACTAGTTCAGCTCATACACTATCAAAAGTCAGGCAAGCATCTTGCAAATCCCCCCATTCCTATGGAGACAAGTGTGGAAGGGAAACTTTTTGAACTCCTGGGTAGGATGGAGAGTTTGGGGGTTGGAGTTAACCATATAAAAGAAGTAGAAAACCTTCATATTTTATGTAGATACTGCTTTGGAAGAAAATTGTGGCTAAAACAAGAAGTTGATAACCGGTTCATTGAGTGGGATAGAAACCGTGTATTGCAAATTAACTAGTGAAGGCATAAGAAATTCTACTTTTAACCCTCATATCAAAAGAGAGGAAATCTATTGAATGATGTATAATTAGCATACAAATTTTAACTGTGTTTCATCAATACATCCATCAACATGGTGCTAGTCTTTCCATTTAATGTAAAAATTGTCCTTTATGTGAATGCAATTCTCTTAAAGCGATCTACACAAAATTTTCATAAAATATTTTTCAGTGGTAACATAGGCTCTTTTGCTCTTTGTTTTCCTTCTTTGTTTATAAAATATCTGCCTTTTCTTTTCATATTAGTAGATAGATGCTTATCTTGTTGACATTGGCTACAAATGTGGAACTATAATAGTTGGTAATTTGAAAATTTGTAGTTGCTCGATGAGATGAAAGATTCTGGAGTTCAACTCACAAAGCATGTATATATGGCCCTAATAAATGGATATGCAGCTTCTGGACAGTTTGAAAAGGCTAAACAGGTCCACAATGAGTATTTTCGGTTCTATAAATCTTTCATGGCCATATTTTTTCCTTTTTTTCATGCTAAATCCTTTGTTAGATCCATAGATTCTTAATAGCTGGTTTCCCCCTGATTTCAATTGTCTACTTCACTATATTTATTTAATTTTCTTGAAGTTTCTTCTGCCACATGTTTGGTGGGTGCATATGTGAATATTAAGAGATAAATTTATAAGCTTCTTTGAAGCTATGCTACATGTAGTGTAAATTCTAATGTGGTGCTTTTTATCTTCTCAAATCGGAAGCTTTCATGTGAAATATACTCCTTGGAGAAAAAAATTGAACTGCTCTAAAACTGATAACTGCAGTGTAGAACATCTGTGCGAAAGTATATTCTTTTTACTTTCTCTTCTTGTAAGAGGCATGATCTTGCCAGAAGAAATTATGAGTTCTCCTGATGATTTAGAAGCATCAACGGATGTGCAGGTAATCTGTGATCAAAGAGTACATGCAAAGGGTTTCAATGAAATTAGAAGTGTGCTTGTTTCTGCTCTTGCTTCACATGGGCAAATATCAGATGCCCTTGATATATATAAGGAAATGGAAGAAGCCCAATGCAAGTTGGAGCCAAAAGCGGTTATCTGTCTCATTGTAAGTGCTTTTTTGCATATGTGCTCTTTCCCAGGATCTTTTCCTTGACACCTTTACCTTTTAAATTATAATCTTGCAGGAAAACCTTCAAACTGAAGGAGATTTGCATAGATTGCTCCACCTACTTGAGCAATTAAATGGCCTCGATCAATGGGTGGATGCCTCCTATAGGGTCATAACATATTGTATTCGGAAAAATCATTTCAGGTCTAATTTCATTATTGTTTCTTGAGAATATTGCTGAAATTTGGAGTTGCTTTAATTTGTCCCTCTTTTGTAATAGATCTATTGTCGACTTGCTTAAAAGGCTGGTAGATGCATACAAGTCTGATGAAGTGGCTAAGGAAGTTCTATTCGATGAGGTTTTGCACTTCTTCATTTTCTCTGCTTTATATTGGAAAATATAATTATATTTCGTAGAAACTCAGTTCTTTTTGGGTTCCTGTGATTCATATACTCTCTCATCAGTTCTTGTGTGCAAGATGAAGCTCCCCAATGCATATGATACTTTTACTTGACAAAATTATTCTCATTAATAATGAGGCCTTTGTTTAGCTCTGATGTGTTTTATTGCTTGGTATTCATATTTGGTAATCATGGAGCAGGTTTTCTGCCAGATTGCGGAACAAGACCCAATAAATTTACAGTTAGGCTTGGATCTCCTTCAGGCTATTAAGAAAGAGATTGGTCTCCTCCCTTCACGACAAAGTCTTGATTTCCTCCTCAGTGCTTGTGTCAATGCCAAAGATTTACAAGCTTGTTATCTAATTTGGAAGGAGTACAAGATAGCTGGCCTTCCTTACAATATTTTAAGTTATGTGAGGTAATTTCAAATAACTAGTGTTTTTTAGTCTTGTTTGCTTGCCTGAAAATTCTGTTCCTAGGAAATTCATGATAGTTACTCATATCTTTTTATTTTGATTTCTCTACAAGTGCATCTGTTGAGAAATCACTTAATTAATCATTCAACACAGAGATTTGATTAAGCTAGATCAATGCATTTGGTGCATCTGTTGAGAAACCACTTAATTAATCAACACTAAGATATAATTAAGCTAGACCAATGCATTTTCATATATTTGTTGGTTTGTATCCTTCTTGGTTTTGAGTGAAATGAAAAAGAAAACATTTGTCATTTAAAACTAGGTCAACGATATCTACAATCTAACATAAAGTTGAAGTTGAAAAAAAGTAAGAAAGAATAAAGTCATCGAACTAACAATGCTTCTCGACTGCTTTATGTCTTCTCTCTTCTGTGTTCCATCGTCTAAGGTTCTAGACCCATGAGAGACATTGGGAGCTTTATGGAGTTTTTACTTGTAATGATGGTAGGTAGGTCTTCTTGTTGCATGCTAAAAGGTTCTTGTTAAGATATCTTGTTCTCCTATGACATGTGTGCCAACAGTCAAATCATCCCTTTCCTTTTCTTTCAAGTTATACATCAATTTTCTTTTCTCCAATCTTATTCAAGCAGAACACCGTTGGAGTTTCCAGTCTCCTTTTAATTAAAGGAAAAAGCACTGCCAAAAATCTGCAATCTTTTCGCTCAATTGCAAAGTAACATGGTGTTATGTGACTATTGGGATCAACATGCTATTGAGAACACAACAAATATGAAGCAACTACACTTCAAACTAGCCGTATTATAACCTTATTAGGCTTGGGATACTTGTGATGTCACGAATGTGATTTGTCCTTTTATGTTTTCCTTCTTTGCTCAAAATCATTGTTTGATGCAGGATGTATCGAGCCTTGTTGGCATTAGGGGACTACAAATCTGCAGCAAATATTCTCAAGAATATACCAAGGGATGATATTCATGTTTGCAGTGTAGTCAAAGCTTGTCAAACAGCTCATGGAATGTCTGCCCCCGCAAAAGGGAAAAAGAAAAAAAGGAAGACTGGGAAGAATGTGAGCTACAAGATGTGAAAAGTGGAGTTCGTAGGGGATTTAGAAAATTCTTCGGTATGTGTAAGTTCTGAACCTGCCGGTCTCTGTTCCTGCTACTTTTTTTTCCCTTCCTCTTTGTGCTCACTCTTCTTTGTCCTTTTTCTTTTGGGTGCAGCAGTTCATGTAGATGTACAACTTTTAGTGTTGAGAACTCGTTCGTTTTCATGTACCTTGTAAGAGCTCTATATAAGTCCTGCTTTAAAGTTTCCCTGAGATTAACAAATTGGAAGTTGATCAAGAGAAGACACTTCTTTTGACTTCTGGTATCATGCCTAAAAAGGTTGGTGTTCCTTCTGACCTTGAAAGATAAACATATATTCTCCATGGCATAGAAAGAGACGAACTGCAGCGCAGAGATGTTTAACAAGCTTTACGCATACATGCTTCAAAAAATGCTTCGTGGTGTTCGAATAATCTATCAGGGAGAACAACAAGGAAGAAATTGATAATCCTTTTCTTTATTGCTCAAAGATGTTGCCTCTTTGAACAAATTTTACTATATTTAGAAAGTACATTTCAATTGTACTCCTTGATAGTAAAGATGATCTGAACCAATATGTAATGACTATTGATGATTTTTTGTAATACAATAGGAAAATTTCAGCTTTTGGCCAAAAAAAAATAAAAAATCTACGAAGTGACGATGACCATGTCTACATTTAAAAAGCAGGTTAGCTATATAAATGAAGTAGGGTAGAACTCACATTTGAGTTTGCTACCAAGAGGAGGTAAAGGCTCTTTATGAAAGGTTGATTTGACTAATTTGAATATGAATTTAGAATTCCTAATAAGAGGGATATCAAAGGCCTTTGTTTTCATTTTCACCACCAATGGGAAATGAAAGATAACACTTTTGTTTTCACCAAACGTTTGATAATTGCATTGGAACTCGAACCTAAAATCTCCTAATAAAGATGGAAGGATCAACAATCATAATACCATAGATGTTCGGTACTTATATTGGAACTCAAACCCAAAATCTCTAAATAAAGAAGGAAGGATCAACAATCATCATATCACAGATGTTCAGTACTTACATTGGAACTCAAATCCAAAATCTCTTAATAAATTTGGAAGGATTAACAATCATCCTACCATAGATATTTGGTACTTACATTGGAACTCGAACCCAAAATCTCGAGTAAAGATGGAAGGATCAACAATCATCTTACCACAACCCAAGTTGATAACAAAATACACACTTAAATACAGTACAAATGTTAAAAAGATTCTACCTTTCCACAAGCAAAAACCTCTCAAAAAGAATTAGCAACAAGAATGGCTTGCCTACAACGTGCTTTAGCTTGTTCAAGTCTTTCATTCAATGTCTCTTCTTTCACAGCAGCACTCACCATAGCTAAATCCATTTCCATAAGCTTCAAAACTCTGTACAATTCCGTCACCATTCTCTCCTCCACTTTCCCTTCTTCCTTCAACACTTCCGCTTCTTCCCTAGCTCTTTCTGCAACTATTTCTCCCACTTTCGCTAACAACGCCGTCGACCCAAAATCCCTAGCCATTAACTCTTCCAATTTCTCCAAAAAATCCATTATCACATACCCAATTGGCTTATCTAATGGAATTGACTTTGTTCTCTTCCACCCAATTTCGAAATTTGGTGGGTCTTGCTTTATGAGCTCAGTTCTTGATTTTCTCTCACGGATTATCTCGGATTTTCGACGTTTTTCTATTGGGAATTTTTCTGGGCTAATTGTTGTTTCTGAATTTGGGGTCAGGAATTCTGGGTCTGAAGAAGATTCAGTTAATGAATTGGAAGTGCATTTGATAGTGAACTGCTTTATGGAAGAAATTGGATGAATTGAAGGAAGAAGATGGATATGGTGGAGTTGAAGAATATTTGAAGAAGAAGCCATTGTTTTAAATTCTCCAACAAAGCTGATAAGGTCTATATAGTGTACGTAGTATTTACTTTTGTCAATATACTATTTGATAAAAGTGAATATCTTGATTGAGCTAAATATCTTGACAAGGCAACTTGAACTAGGATCACGTCTCAAAATATTTGTCACGTTTAGTTTTCGATATTGAAAAAAGGTACGACTTACACTATTTCTTGTGTAATCTTGGCAATAGTAAAGAACAACAACAATGCAGTGATATCTCACAAGTAGAGTCTGAGAGGATAAAGTGTATGCAGATTTTATCACTATCTTGTAGAGGTAAAGAGATTGTTTTCGAAAGACCCTCATCTCAGCAAATTCAAATATAAAGAAGAAGTAAAACAATGTAGAAGTAACTAACAAAGAAAACAGTGCGAAGTCGATAAGAAAGGAATGTTGATACATATTAAACAACAAATGATGATAGATGATATCATCAAGAATAATACAACTAGTACAACAACAAGCCTACACCCTCGAAAAGTAAAAATAACTCTCTAGTACCTCCTAACCAACTATCCTTGGTACGCGATCTTCAACCCCTCCTATCTAAGGTCATGTCTTCGATAAGCTGAAGATGCGTCATGTCTTGCCTAATGAGCTCTCCCATATACTTGTTCGACCTACCTTTAATTAAAACTAATATTTTATTAAATTAACTCTTGAAAAAATAAAATATGACAAGTATTTTAATACAGACGGAATACAACATTTGTTTTGTCCCATTTTATGTGATACTATTTTCTTTTTAGTTCATTATAGAAGAATATCACCTACTCTAATTAAAAATAATTTAACTTCAAAAATCTCTTTATTCTCCTACTGAAATAGTGTCACATAAAATAAATAGAGGGAGTATTATATTTCATCCATTCTAGTTTACGTGAGACGCTTTCTTTTTTAGGGCCCGTTTGATCATGTGATATGAAATCATGAGATGAAGTGAAAGTTTTGTTTTGACATGCAATTTGGACTTTTTTATATTATGTGTTTTCTCATAAACACAAAATTTCATAAATTGTAAAACTATTAGAATTATCCTAATTTTTATACAATCTTACCAAATAAACAAAAAATTATAAAATCGCATATACACTATCACAAAATTATTTTAAAAAAATACAATATTTATTGATCAAACATGAATAGTATTCAAGTTGTTAGTAAAGAAAATTGTTTTTTCAATTAATGTCACAATGATTTGTTAATGATGGTAAATTATTTTTATCAAACATTGATTTGAATGAAATAGTTAAACTTGATAAAAATAATGAATTTGGTAATATAAATTGTAAAGTAAGAATTAATTTAAAATAAAATAAATTTTATATTGATGAAAATAATTATATGAGATATAAATGGTTTAAACAGTAATGATATGAATTATAATTTTTTTTTTACATATAAAATAAAGTGGATTTTTTAGCAAAATATAAAATCATGAGTCAATTTTGTATTTAAAAAATCTAAATCATGATTTAAAATTCTCAAATCATGCTTTCTGTAAAATTTGGATCAGGTCACAAGCGTTTAATTTCATCTCATAATATGAAATCATATGTCCAAACGTTTACTTTAGTATTCCAAAAAAAGAAAAATGTCACGTACGTTTTTTTTTTTTTAACAAATATTTTAGGGACACTGTAAATATGTAGAGTTTTTCGTTCCTCTCTAAGCTTTGGCAGAGTGATAGCAATGGCGGCTAGAGTACCTCTAGGATGTGAACCTGTTGTTGGATCATTAACGCCGTCAAGAAAAAAGGAGTATAGAGTGACGAACAGACTCCAAGAAGGCAAACGCCCATTATATGGCGTCGTCTTCAACTTCATTGATTCGCGCTACTTCAATGTCTTTGCTACTGTGGGCGGAAATCGAGTGAGTTTTTTCATTTGGGGTTCGTCAAAATTGTATTTAGTTTATTGTGCTGACTCGAATTTGTGGAATATAACACTTTTCTTTTACTAATTTGAGCTCTGCAATGAAACGGGTAAACGGGTACGGTTATGAACGACCCAATTGTATGAGGTTGATGGGTTGCTGTTGTTGTTGTTGTTATTGTGGTTGTTGGCTTCATGTATTAGTATTAAAGTTCGAAATTTTCATTCTTTTAGGATTTGTCTTGAGTTCTAGAATGAAACGGGTTGACGGGTATGGGTGTAACTGTCCCAATTGTTTGAGGCTGACGGGTTGCTCTTTTTTTTTTGTTGTTGTTGTTATTCTTGTGATTATTGGCTTCGTGTATTGGTATGGAAGTTCAATTTTTTCATTCATTTGTCTTGAGTTCTGAAATGAAACGGGTTAATGGGTACGGGTATAAACGACCCAGGTTTTTTAGGTTGAAGGGTTGTTGTTGTTGTTGTTGTGATTGTTGGGTTCATGTATTAGTATGGAAGTTCAAAATTTGTACAATTTAGGTAGGAAGTATCAATCTTTTCTTTTTTTTTTCATCTTGGTCCGTCTTATTTTTTTAAATGCCTCGGGGTCAATATTAGCTGAGCTGCTGCTTGTTTCAGATGAAATGTGCTAAAATTGGACTCGCAAGTTGCTTTAATGTTGATTGATGGTTCAAGGACCCTTTTTGTTTCCTACAATTGCTCTTATGCTTATCTTGGTAGATTCATTGATGCATCACAAACTAAAATGTCTTTATGTAGTTAGGACATAGGATGGGTGAGCCAGCTTTGTACAAACTTATGTTATATGGTGTAATGATCGACAATTTCTGTATGTTTCTCCACACTTGCGGAGTGCCACATATTTAACAGATTGATAATAATTACCTAATGGTTTACCTTACTATTATAAATTGTTCATGTCAAAGGTTATGATTCTCGGAATTGGGTATGGATTGTAATCTTGTATAATCTCTTAAGCAGTGTGGAGTTATGCTATTATATATCTTGTTGTATTTCTTATCTAAGTTGAGAGTTATGGATGATGTAAAAATAAATTTAGAATTTGGAAAAGTGCATGCTCTTGTAAATGATGTGTCTTTTAATGGTCTAGATATGTCATCTGAGAGTTGTTTCAGAAAACCGACCTGAAAGAAGATAACTGCAGAAGAATAGTGCTAGCCTCAGGAAGTTAGGATATGTTTTTATGGTATGCCAATTGTCGATACCCTGACTAGTGTCTTTATTTTCTGGTTGTTTGTCAGGTGACTGTATATCAGTGTCTCGAAGGTGGTGTTATTGCTGTGCTGCAGTCTTATATTGATGAAGATGTAAGAAGTTGCAAGCACACAGTTGTTCCATCTGTTCCGTACATATGTTATCTCATAGACTTAAAAAACTTTTGGTTTTTCCATGTGCTGTATAAATCAGAAAGATGAATCCTTTTACACTGTAAGCTGGGCCTGCAATATTGATGGGAGTCCATTCTTAGTGGCTGGTGGAATAAATGGAGTTATTCGTGTTATTGATGCTGGGAAAGAGAAGATACACAAGGTCTTGACCTGAAATCTTTGATTCACATTTTACATGATCAAACAAAAGTAGTTGCTCTTTTAGTTATAAAAAATGAATATCTGCATGAGTTTTTAACAGCCATCTAATTAATCTTTATCTGAAAACTAAAGTATTTCCTTTTTCCATTATTCAATCCATCTTATTCATCATGATATTAACAAGTTAAGTATTCCTTCATGATTCGTTCCATGTTAAGTTGTATTAACACTACAAACTTGAAAGAGAAGGTTTCTCTTAAAAGTTGAAGCTAGTTACATGTTAACTTAATATCATATGTCTATTAATCTATTTTAATCTACTTGCTTATGATTGAACAGAGCTTTGTGGGGCACGGAGACTCAGTAAATGAAATTAGGACTCAACCCTTGAAACCATCTCTTGTATTATCTGCCAGCAAAGTATGTACCTTATGTATTCCTCTATTTCCTTCCCCCGCAAGGAAAATTATATTTGATCCTCTTTATTGGAAAAAAAACATTTGCACAGTTGCAAGATGTATGTGGAGTATCAATCAATTTTGCAACTATTTCACATGGCATATTTTAATTATCACGAGTGTCACAGGATGAATCTGTTCGTTTGTGGAATGTTCATACTGGAATATGCATTTTGGTATTTGCTGGTGCTGGAGGTCATCGGAATGAAGTACTTAGTGTGGTAAGTTTCTCTGTTAATTGCAGTTCCACTCCAAGGATGGAGTTTGTGGCAAAGTAATGTCTTTCACATCTGTTACTAATACTGGGAACCAGTATTTAAGCATATCAGCTGGTTTGTGATGTTTGTAGGACTTCCATCCTACTGATATATATCGGATTGCTAGCTGTGGAATGGATAACACTGTTAAGATCTGGTCAATGAAAGGTAAAACCTGTAACCCTTTTCAGTTTCACATATATTATTGAAAAATGACATATGATATACAACTACGTATCATCACAGACTAAAACTTTGAAAAAGAGAAAAACGGAGGGTGATCTTTAGAGGAGCAACTTGTTATTGGGTGTATTCACAAGGCTTTTCCAGAACCTTTAGGATGATGATGTTGTGCTATGCCTGTACTTTTCTGGATTTGGTGATTTTGTCACCTATATATCCTGAATCTCACACGACTACCTGGACGTGTTGAACTAATGACTTGCACACAATTTTCATTGTGGAATACATTAATTTATTAGCACATATTTCTACAAGGATATCTTTGTCTTCGGTTACAAGTGTAAAAATGATGTCAATATTTTCAAAGATCCAACCGTAGTTATCAATGTACCAACTACCTAGAAGGAATATTAGGCAGCATGCAGTTATCCTAGACATTTATGTATTCTGGTGTTCACAATGCTTTTTATCTAAACTACTTTACTTCCCTAGTTATAGTCACACCTATCAGCAATTACCTTACTGTTGTCCCTGGAAAGGATGTAGCATTGGCTATGAGTCAGATTATGTATTGTGTCATCTGTTCCATTGGTGCTCTGTTGTTACACAAGTTTGAAAAATAAAATGAAGTAGCATCAATTTGAGTAATGTTAACAGT